AATTCAGTTCCGGAGATTCTATAAAAGAAACGCTTGCGCTTTAAGAAGCCAAAGGTGGATACATTTTGTGCGTTTCAAATTTTTTAATGACGTATCTGTTTATGTTAAATTATTTCTCAACTTCTTCATCACTTCTAATACTTTGTCAATTCTACTTTACGTTTTTGGCGAAAAAATATTTGTGCTTCCTCAAGTACATTACCTGATAAATTACCTATCTAGTTCGTATTTATTCAGTGGGTATTGAAATTCTTTATTGAAAATGAATTTACAATGACTCCTAAGTTGCTTTTTTTCATCCTGATTCTATAATTTAATAGGATTTTTATGCTTGATATATCACTGAGTGAATTGGGACGACATGGTCAGTTACTTTATTCAGTCAACTTGTTAGCTACCTTCAAAAACTATCGCCTTAGACTCATTTAAGAATCGGGTGATCAAATTTGAACCATTAGGACATTTATATCAAATGGTAAGTTGAGTACTGTGAAGTGGTCGAATACGGCGTACAGTGGGGTCATGGTGGTTTGAAGTCAGATGTCAACTGTCGGTTTATAGTATAAGTACTCGCTGCCCAGGATGCACCACGTGAAGGTGAGTCCATCACCTGCCCCCCCCCCCCCAAACTAGGACATAATGCAGTAAATTCAATGAATTAGGTAAATGAAATAAAATTGTGAATGTGTTAAAGATTGATAATTTTATAATTCCACTCCAGCATTCCTTATTAACAAATTCCGCACAAACTGCGTTTACATAATTTCTGCCAATCAAAAATTACATTCTAATGCTTTGCCAAAAATCAGGTCAAAAACTAAGTTATTTATACTGCCTTTCATCAACTTTCCCCTTGATGGAAGAGGAGGAGTACTTGTTACTCTAAGATAAGATATTTCATGCCTCTGTAAATCTTTTTTAACGAAAAGAAAAACAATTACCATGATTCTTCATTTAGCTTAACTACTTTCTTTCTTCAGTTATCTACCCAGTGACCTGTTCGCGTTGAGCAATTACATTCAGTTTAACAGGACCTCAATTTTACCCCTTCTTTACTCACCCCAAAAGTCATTCACATGCGCTCATTCTACATTTGAGATTAAATGATTTAAGAGAAAAACCAAGATACTACTGTTGAATTAACCACTTTGTGAAGGTACTGTAGGTAGTTAGTTACGTGACTTGCGCCAAACTGTAAATATGGCTACAATCCCCCCCCCCCCTCCTCCTCAGACGCATTAGCATGGCAGTAAAACTCCATATATTATAACTTTGAATATATCCGACTAATTGACTACCTATCTATTAATGTGTCTGTGACGAGATTTCATTCCCAGTCATGAATACTAAAAAAAACGTGTAACGTAGCATAGAACAGCACTTAAAAGAGGATTTCTGTCAGGACATGGAAAATGTTTGCATTTCTGTTTTCTGGCATTCTGATGATGCAGTTCTTTGCTCTTAGACTTGACAATTTACTTTTTTTACATTGCACTTTGGCATTGATTAACTAGGCTCCAAGGCCTACTATCTTTCACGTGCTTTAATAGCATACCATGTCTGCATTTTTTACATAAGTTGGAGGAGTTTATTCATTTTTTTAGTTCAAAGTGTTCTAAATTATTGTAATATGCGTTAAATCAGTGTCTGTAATAACAGCGTTGAAACAATCTTTTATATTTAGTACCCAGGGAAGTAAGTCCTTGCCTCCATCGAAGATTTTAAAAGAATAATTGAAATTCCTGTGTATTGTCAAAAGCTGAAGAGTATTATAATGAAATGTGGGGTATGCGATAGATTTACCTCCACGTGGTGCACCCTGGGCAAGGTATACTTGTACGGCAGAAAGGTCTATTAACTGGGAGCTGACTTCTGACTTCAAACTACCATCACCCCACTGTATGCCAAATTCGACTACTTCTACAGTACTCACCTCACCTTTTTCTACTTTTTTGCCCATTTTACACTTTTGAAGTACTCTTCTGTCCCCCCCCCCCCGACTTTCTGTTACTTTGATGTCCCTTCCCCTCTGTGAAGCCTGACGTCAACTAAAGGGCTAATAATAACTACCAAAACGCCTGCCATTTGATATAAATAAATTATGGAATGTTCGTATCAAAATGGCGTTACAATCCACTCATTCTGGTCGACTGGTATCGAAGCTGTTAACTCTGCGGTAATGAAATCATCTTTTATGCAACTCCTGAATTTTGGGCATTGAAATTGAAGCGTGAATCAGTGAACTCGTCTTTCTAGGCAAAAAAGCGAGAAATTGTCCAATGCAGAACCCCTTTCGATGGTCATTCATTATCACTGCATCATCTTGACCTCTGATGTCCACTCTTTTTGGGCTGTTTTGCTTAGACATGCTTTTATTGCTTTCATATGATTGAATGTGTCATTGCTTTTTCTTTTACCTTTTATTTAATTAAAAAATTTCTTTCAATAGTTTAATCTAGCGCGAAGCATTATTTATAATCTTTTAGTATGATTAGTATTTAAGGCTTATGTCCCCACTTCCTGTGCTAATATTTCCTGATTTCAATCGACTTTAATTCCCTTAATAGGAAGATATTATATATATATATATATATATATATATATATTTCATATTCACACAGTTAATCAATGTAATATTCTCTAATTCACCTTATTTAAAGAAGATATATTTTTGCTGGTGTTCAGTTTATTTTTGTCCATGTATGTTTCTGTGTGGTTTTGCTTAGATTATTTCCAAAGAAGGTGATAAAAATGGTAGACCACTTAACAAAAATATAAAATTAGCTGAATGTACTTATTTTAACCTTTTCTATTATTAGTTTGTATTACTGCAACCCTAGTAAATACCACCTTCTGTTATTCTGTTTATATTGTCAATAGTAAGGTTGTATCCCTATCCAATTTTTCCTTGTATTGTGCTAAAACTTATCTTTCAGTTACACTTAGATGTTTTATCGATGGGCTACTTATCCACTGTAGGATTCTGGACATAATAATCAGAATTTTTTGTGAACTTGTGAGTATTTTCAACTGCCTGGTCTTCGCTTTGGTCAGCTTTTATTCCAGATCTTATTCAAATTCATCGATTTAAAATAATGAAAGTAAAACTACTTTGAAACGGAAATATCGATAGTTTCTGTTTAGCACATTCAGTCAATTATGACATTGATTTCAACAGGACCCTAGTGCTGAATTTGGCGTTAAAGCAATTAGATTTCAAGTTCATTTGCTATTTATTTTTGTTCAAATCACTAATAAGGAAAGGGATTTTTTAAAATTTATAAGAAAACGTCTTGCCATATTGGCAAGAAATTCCCTTATGAATATATATGTATGCGAGCACGATGACAATTGAGGCTCGACGGTTATTCTCAGCCTACTGGAGTTTTGATCTCCAGGCATTATTAAAATGGCAATTTGTAGGTTTCATTTTTTAGATATTAGAATATCTTTGAGTTGCTGCACTTCGGTCTAATAGCTCCTTCTCTCTCTCTCTCACTCTTTGGATCTGAAATTCGTTTTTTTACAACCATTGGGTACACAGGTGAAGTTAACAGACACTAGACTTTCAACAGTCTAGAAGATCCTTATTTTGCAACATACGTCTGTATAAATCCCCTTTTTTCTCTTTCTAGGCTCATATCACACCAAAAGACCATTTCCACAAAGTAGACCAGATTATCCTACGTACCATAATTAAGGTTGGGCTAGTTTCTCAACGTCTGCTAGAACAGCAAAGTGTATTGGTCAAAATGCATAGGGTCGAGCGTCAGTGTCGACATTTCGGTCTCATCTACTGTGAATTGGTCACCCAAGCCGATGAAGGCATCAGTCCTTCCCCCTCTTCTTCCTCCTCCAACTCCCCAGCAAAAACTCCCACTCCCGATTTGAGTATCCTGCTAAGCACCTTGAAAAAACTTCAAGAAGGTCTCAATGCTCTTGTTCAAGGCCAACTCAGTGATAGATCCATAAATCAGATGAATGAGGTCTTTGGGGAGCTTCAGGATCCATCCCTTTGGAACCGTATCCTTGATCGAGCCAATTCGACCCCTCATGAATGGAACCTGGCAGTGAAACTACGTGATTCATTTCACAATATTATTGAAGCAAAACTTCTATGATTTTTAACTACTACTATACAGTACTGCTTGAGCTAATGTGGTATCCCCTGTTCATTCAATTTATTAAACCCCCCCCCCCTCTTCCCGCTATCCCCCCCCCTTGAACGTTGTTTGTGTGTGTGGGAACTGGAAATTATTTACTTTATTAACCATTAAACCAAATTGTGTTTTACCTCTCATTATATGCACTTATTTTTTGCATAAAAATGATTGGAAGTTATATTAAGACCGAGTTTATCTGGCTCTTGTGCAACGTATTGGAGCCACGTATAAAAGATCCAGAGGACCCGGAAAGAACACGTTTTTTTCAAATCGTAGCATTATATTTGGTCAATTAATCCAATTTGTCGCAATCGCCGTGCCCGAAAGGGCTTTGCACTTCCATCCTATACTGAGAACTTACCTATCTCGATGAGGGCTTAGTAATTCTGGAAATGCTGCTGGCAAATGAGAAATCGCTCAAATAACGAGTTTTATATTTTGTGAATACTAATCAATACAACAAAAGAGGCTTATTTATTCAATTTTCCGTCTTTTTATTAAGTAAGTACATGGACCAATTTATGTATTCAAAGTACTCCGAACTAACTGACTAATAGCTTTGGGGGGGGGGGGGTGTTTGAGTATTTTATCTCGTTACTGAAGTACTTATTGCTTCATAACTTAATGCTGATTTGGTAATGATAAAAAAAAACAAAATTTAGGTAAGCTGGGACTCAATTGCCATTCTCTGCGTGATGACTTGAAATGTTTTTTGCGTATGAACCACAGAGATCCCATCTTGTTCCTTGTCCAAATGAAGAGCAGATTAAGATTTAATTAAACACAAAGTCGAAAGAGCTTTAGTACAGAATTGTTCATAAAATACCAAGAAATATTGCCCTAGTAGATGTTTTATAACTAAGCGGAATGAAATTAATATGGCATAAAGAGCAAATTAGTTTAGATCATAATCACTAATCTATATGAAAAATTAGACCGTAAATGACTCTGCGATCTTGCCAACCGAACTGTTCGCTTCATTAAACTACCAGAATTTGCCTTAGTAGTTAAAATTAATTGCTATTTGCCTATGCAAATGAAGCAAATCGGTAGAGGTTTCGGTTTCTGATTTGCCTGTGGGCACACGAAATAGAAAAATAGCTCATTAAGGGATGGCATGTTGGATCAAATTTGTAAATTTAATGATTTTCAAAATAACGGTATTATGACTTGCTTTGAATTCTACTTTCTCACAATGAATATTATCCAATTTGTAATATCCTAATATTCAAATCTCAATTCATTTTTTACCCTTTTTCATTGGTGGGTAGATAGACGATGCTAACAAAGGCTTTTTAAATAACGGGAGTGTACACTCAAAGTAAACTCCGAAATTAATGATTTTACCAGAGTTTTCGAACGTTTGCCCATCCGAGTAAGATCTTGGTACAAATTTTCCACCAACGATTTCACACAATTAAAATTTTAGTATTTACTGACTATTGCGTTGATGACGTCAGTAGTTTCGGACATAAATTTGTCGGAAAGATGGTGGCAAGTGAATAAGGGAAGGCTAACTTCTGTTTTAATTACTGCAAGCAAGTAGAATTTTCACCGCAAATTGATATTTCATCCTGCGTCTAACTCGGAATGATTTGCTTTATGATGATATCTTAACTAGTCTTATCTATACATCTCACTCATTGTAAGAAGATAGAAAGGAATCAAATTTCTATGACCAGCCACTCAACAAAGTCAACGAGGGGATGAACAACTCAAGCATGATCGATCACCATGGAGCCTAGAGGACAGGTCGTATAACTTGAAATTTGGAATATTGGAAAACTACCTATTGAGCATAACAAATTTTGAATTTTACTGTAATCGACTCGTTGTATTTTCAACGGTAGGTTAAACTTTCCAAGACTGAAATTTAAGCAGAAAACAGTTATTATTTGTCTTCAAAAACACCCACGTATTTAAAACCGAGGAAGTTACACAACACAATCACTATTTCACAATGCACACATCATATCTTAAAAAGTTATTAGGAAATGGATGTAGCGTATTGCTACCGATTAAAACAAGGTGTGCTGTCTTATTAACTTTTAAACTAATTACATTTTTAAAATCTTTAGCATGTGCTGGACAGAAATCGAAAACGCTTTCCTTCTGTTTTGTTTCAATTTTCATTTCAATTAGGGGGAAGAAGGCGATAGAAACGATTTGTCATTCTTGGAAGTAAGAAAGGAGGGGGAGGGGGGTAAATAGGGCATTGTGGAGACCGGAGGGTTGGAATAACTAGAGAGTATAAATCTCCAGAGATGAATTCATTAGTTAGACGAATAATAGACAGCGTGAATACGGAGTCTCGTTATTAAAAAACTACATCTTAACTAGCCTGGAGTCATAGAAGTGGTTAAATACTCCAATTATTGCTAAAAAATTACATTTTAGTCCCAATTAGGTATTCGATTAGCTATTCCTTAGTCCATACTTTCTATTGCCTATCAGTCTTTATTATGACAACACAATTGAAAAGTGAGAAAGACTGGAGTTTGATGAGATAAGTAAAAAGCTGTTTAGGGGTACAAAGAGACCCTCAGAGGAGTTGTAGAGGGGGAGACTGTAAGCGTGAGACAAATGGGAGGCAAGATCTGATTAATTTTTCATACAACGGGTGAGTCAAAGAACAGAGAATTAAGATATAGGAGTCAAGCTTAAGCACAATGGAAAAATGCGCTTGAACTGATCGTCTGAGTGGCAGAGTTAAATGTTATCCAAGATAACTTATGCATATTTATAATAAATGATAGGCTTTATGATAGCCATCATCAAGCAGACACAAAGGCAGAGAAAAGGGCAGGGTGAATACTGTGAAATATGCTATTCAGTTGGGTCATGATAGTTTGAAGCCTGAAGTCAACTGGCAGTTTATAGACTTTTTCGCCGTAGAGTATACGTTGCCCGGGTTGCACCATGTGGAGGTAAGTCTATCGCACCTACCCCCCACCCCCTCCCCCACTTATGAACATAGACGGTGATAAAATCCTAATCAGGGGAATTTTCACGCAACCTGAGAATTAAGAAGCCGCTGGACTAGCTTGCTAAACGGGCTCGACGTCACATAAGGGAAACGCATTAAAATATCAGATAGGTATTAGCTATTACACGTTCAGGTGCATTTCCTAAACAGCTGTTTGCACCCTTGGGTGCAAGGAATACAATGTAGGTCTTAAAATGGCCAACTACTTCGCGCAAGGTAGCCTTTGACTTTTCAAATCCCTGCAATTTGGTTATGTTCACTAAACCTTTCTCAAATCTTATGCGTTCACGAAGCGTCAATAATTTGTAGTATCCACGCAGACTACTTCTCTTTTCCATTCACCATTTAAAGTAATGGGTTTGCCGGTATGTACGGAATTATTTTTATTAGGATTCCGCATCCAAGTCGCTCACACTTACCAAACATCTCTGTCAAATCAGCCTTGGGTTGCCAAAGCCACCTCCATGTAGGGGAAAATTCAGATAGAGAACTCAACAGAAATTT